AGCCCCTGCTCCCCTCCGGGTCGGCGAGGACGAAGCTAAGGGAGAGGGGCGGTGGCCACGCTCCGTCCCCCTCTGCCTGACGGCTCTGCGTGAGGCCCTGGACGGCTGTCATGGTTCTCTTCACCCTTCCCCTTCTGGCAGGTGCAGGGCCACCACGTCCTGGGCACTTTCCCAGTGCTGATGGCCCCCGAAAATGCAGCTTGGCCACCAGGCCGCCTTGGGCTGTCACCCTTCGCCGCCGCGAGCGGCTTTCCCTCCTTCTGCCGCCATTTTGTGGCACCCAGCTCACAGCCTCTCTGGTGTCCCACAGGATGGGTTTTCCCCCCCTACCATTTTGACAAAAATTGGTTTAAATTTTACATTCCAGGAACTTAGGGAATAATATGCAGCGATACCGTTCTGTTTGGTATGTTCCTGACTAAGTAAAATGTGGCAATCCAGAGTTTCTGAGCACTTGGCAAGATATGTCTGTAGCTAGTGAAGAGGGCACAGTAGCAATGTGCTTTAAACCATAAGTGTTAGAAACAGGGGCTTCATCAAAGAAGAGATGTACAACTACATTGACTCAGCTGTAATAACTAGAATTGTCATCCGTCAGGAAAAGACTTCAATGATATTAGAAACAGTGAAACCAGCAGCGGGTTTCAAAAAACATGGCATATCCCCACCTTAAATGCAGGGTTGAAGTCTCACAAGGTTCCTAAAATGGTATTGCAGAAGAGGGGTAGAGGAATATAAACACCACGATGAGAGGCACCTTTTTTTTTTTTTTTTTTTTTAAACTGAGGTAAAAAGTTGCTCTACGAATGTGAACTCTGGTAGATTTCCAGAAAAATCAACCAACCAGTCACTTAAAAGAGTCTTAAACAGTAATTAATAGCACAGGAGAAATATGACTTGATCTCCAGAGAGCTCTACTGTAATGAAAATTATTTATATAAAACCAACAGAAATGAATGCCGTTGCAGAGCTGACAATGGGTAGAGTTGAGTATTTGATTTTAAGGATGAAATTTACCTCGCAGATTCTCAGTATTTTTCACCTTTTAATGAAGAACCTAAAAATTCTCAGGTGGGGTAAGGAGCTACCACTGCAACTCTGCCATGAGAAGTGGCACTAATGTCAGTGTTATGATAATACCTAGAGACTTCATCAGGCAGTTTGTTTGTGGTTTCTGCACTCAATGCAATCTTGTAATACATGAAAATTTATTGTCACAATTGAATTCCATATAATTACATTAACGTGGTATAAAAATGAAAGATGCATAGTAATATTTTTCTTCTGCCAGCATTCTCAATAGCATCATTAGAAATAATAGAAACATGGAATAGGATTATGGATATGTGCAGTTTGAAGATAGTTTACCTACCCATTGCTCTGTATTACCTGTTTCTGTTTAACAAAAATATCATCCCCTGAACATCCCCTGAATTTGTCACCCAGGGTTGGCTAATGGTTGAATGCTACTTTTTTTTCAGTAGGACCAAGAATTGGTCTTTATTACTGCAGTCATATACTGGCAGTCAACTGTTGTCCAAAATTTAGATGTTTTTTGTTTTAGGCTGGTGTTAACTACTGGTTTTGAAATCTACAAACATGGTGAAATAGTGAAATAGATTATCTCAGCCCTTTTTACTAGTGATACGTGTCCTCTTAATTCACAACACAGAATAGCATTTGTCATTTGAAGTTATTTGCAGTTACTTCAACAATGTCCAGAATAGCAGGTATTTTACATATGCATGCTTCCAGAGGCACTGCCATTTTCTGCAACTTTACTCTTTATATAAATTATATTGTAAAATCACAGAAAAAAAAAGGAACACTAACTTCAGTTCTCTTTCTCCCTTCTGCAAAAGCATTGAAAAGATAAAATTAATTGTAACTTAACACTAGATGATAGAACAGTATGTAATGGTAGTATGTAATAATATGCAGCTGTACAGTCTGCTCTATTGGTGAACTTTGTTTTGTGATTTGTAAACAAATGGATAGAAATTCTTTGCTGTTTAAAGTAATGCTTGTGCTTTTTATTTTGTGTTCGTCTGTGTGTGCCCCAGTTTCTTGCAGTTTTCATGGGAACTGTCAGGGAAACAACTAACAAACATCGTTAAATTGTTTCGATAGAACAGATTTTTAATGCATGCTCTAAACTAAATTTTGCATCCAAAGGAATTACTTAGGATTTTCTTTTACATGGTGTGAAACCAACAATATTCTGCATTGACCTGTATCTTGAGGTAGCATGTCTTACTATTTTCAGAAAACATTTTGTTTGCTATCTTAGGTGTTTCCACACACGAGGAACTAGATTTCCAAGCTTTTAAATACATTTGGTAAAGCTATTATCTCTTTCTCTGAGTTTTTATCACAGCCTATACTAATCCAGTCACTTGGATTAGGTGTTCTGATCCTCACTTAACTATTAGGCAAATTCATTTCTGTCAAACATCCAGCATTTTAACTGCTTCCCCCACCCCCTCCTGTTTCCACAGTCTCAGTGCTGCAGTATGTAGCCTTAATGCCACTTAAGTTAAATTCTGCAGTTGTTTTCTATTCCACTTTATCCTGGATTAGGGTCTCATTCTCATCACCAATTTGTTGTGGCTTTACTTTTTACACAGTACTCAGGGTACAGGGAAGCCATTGTGGGACAGTAAAGTATGAGATAACTTGGCTTAATGTTGTGTGTACCTGAGTGAACTGGCTGTATTCAGAACATTCTGATAACATGACAATTCCATCCTTACATTCTTTTTAGAAGATTTTGTGGCTCCCAAACTGTTTAAAAGCTCTGCTTTCAGAAAAACCCTGAATTCATGCACGTAGCAGCACTATACCAACAGAAGAATCGATTTGTAGTAATCTACTTTCCATTGTATGTGTGTTCTATCTTAAGTCACCCTTATACAGTTGTACAATCATAGAATCATTTAGGTTGGAAAAGACCTTTAAGAGCATCGAATCCAGCCGTAAAATATACTTTCTGATTTAAATGTACTTTGCAATTACTACAGGAGGAGCTCACAGAATGGATAAGTAGCTTTCCCATTACCAGCGCTGCAGCCGATAGGCTTAGGAAGCCAGCTGGAGTAGAGGCTACACATTTTGTACACAAGCATCTATTCTTGCATTCTTTGTGCCTTCTAAGAACATTAAGCCTCTCAAAGACAGAACTGCGCCAGGAACAAAGCTTTATCTAAATAATATATTTCCTTTTTTTCTTGCAGTGGTTTAGATTTGCAGTGAGACCGTTACCACTATCAATGAGAAATCTGGTTCCAGTGAATTGGTTTAGGTACTAGTTCAAATGCAGTTAAAACTGGTTTTCTCCCTTTTTTTCTTAAAGTGTATGGTATTGGCTTGCAATTTAAACTTGTTTATTGTATCAGTAAAACTCCTGACTTTGTAAATCCTTCAATTACACTTTTCTTTTGTAGCTTACACAATGAGTGACAGGCTTTTGAGCAACTTAGACAAACTTCTGCTCGAATTTGGTAGGCCATTATATCATATACTTTAAAATTAATTATTACTAATGCAGTGCATATAATGCAGTACATTTCTGCTTTAAACTGTTACATTAACTTCAAATAAATTTATAATATTAAGGTTTTGATGTTTGTCTGCATAATGTTTTGTTAGCTGTGAGTTTATGGAGATGGGTACCAACAGCTGTTTAATAGTCAAACTGCTATTTAGATATTTATTAAAATGTTTTTTACTCAGTGTTTGTGTGAAGAATACTGAACAACACACATTTGTTTCACAGCTCAGTGTGTGTATATATATGAAAAAATATTTATTTTCTTCTTAGTTTTCCAGCTAGAACAAACTTCTTATGCTAAGGAACACGTGAATCAACAGATAAATTGTGAGTAGCGATAAATCATCGTTTTATTAGACTCTGAACACACTGCGTTTGTTTCCTCAGTCCTGGTCCATGTTCTGTGTTTCAGGGGCGGAAGCAAGGCTCATAATGGAAGCTGTCCCGTGTCCTGCTCTCACCCCACCCCATCTTTTGCCATCAACACTCGCTCATTCTCCCCAGCAGGCTTCGCTTTTCCTTGCGACTCTTAGCTGGCGCTGTTCAGCTGTCTCGTGGACAGCCAGTTTCATGCTGCGCCATTTCCTGCTCTTACTCTGTAGCTCCTCACAGTCACTGGCAGTTCTTTGATTCAGCTGTGCTTCCTCAATACATCTGCCACTCGCTTCCCTTTCTTTCTTCATGTTTTGTGTTCTTTCCAGATTTGGACCTCTGCCTCACTGCTTCTCCTCTCTTTCTGTTTTCTTAAAATAATGAAGGATCTCTCAGTTGCTGCTACCTACTCAAGCCTGGTTCTTCTTTTTTTGCAATCAAGCAGCTGGTAATTTTATTTGAAATTCAAAACAGTTAACCCAATGAGAATGTCTTGCTCCACATCAGATTCTTTTCCCCCAGGCCTTACAGACGGGATAATATTATGGACTTTGGTCTGGACTGATTTTTTTTTTACCACACTACAATGTAGAATCACTCACTCCCAAGAATGACTGTGGTAGAGAATCTATTCTTTAAACAATCTGAGGACATCTCTGCTCATTGCTTCTACTTCATAGATAGATATTGGAGTTTATATCCTTCAGGAAAAAGAACAAGAGAGAATTCTGGTCTAACTGGTGTTCCTTTTGATGGTGACATGTCTAAAAATGTTGATTGATATGTCCAAGCAGGTACTTGCTCATCAAGAAGATTGTCAAACTGAAGCATCTTAAAACATTAAAACATTTGTAACACTAAATCTGGTACACCTAGAATTCTGTTTTAACTATTCAGTCACATAGTTGAACCTTAGAGTAGAGATTTTTCTTAACATTCATGCAAGCTCATGGTAAATGAGCACACTTTCAGGGAATATCCAAAGGCTGTGGAGCATCATGGCACAGCTATTTGCATGTTCAGTTCAGAGATACCTAAATATGTGTGAACTCACAACCAATACTCAGATTTTTAAAGATTTGGGTTAAATCTTTCAAAAAGTCACCCAGAATTAGTTCCACTTATTTGATTTCATCTCTGTGTGAGTTTTTCTTGGCACAGTAACAGTTGTAGCATTCAGTCTCAGACTTTTAGTGTGAGATTCATCAGGCTTTTTGGCTTGAATCTCTTTGTAACAAGTGGAGGGAAGTAGGCACTTTTGGGGTGTAATTTGTCTCATCCTTATGAAAAAGTTTAAAGTAGGTTAGATAAAGTAAGCTTTAGAAAATAACACTTGTCTCCACTGAGTGCAGCTGTAGCCATGGGTGTCTAGTTCTGAAGCAGGTGCCTGCGTTGTAAAGCTGTTTGAGGTGGAGCTCATCCACAAGGTCCTTGTGAAGGCAGTAGGTGAGTAGAACAACTTGCACTTGTCACAGAAGAGCTCATCTATAGAAAATACTAAATGAAATGTTAAGTGTATAGCTTGGCTTAGGTAATAGATATTTTGTCAATACAGTTACATTATATCTTGATAAATCTCAAAATGTCACCTGCAGGATACCTCCAAATATACCTGCTTTTATTTACAGAAATGAAGCATATGTCAGTTGTGTGGTAGTTATGCTTCATGCTAAGAAAAGGCAAGTTACAGACTTAAGATATGGAAAATATGAAGATATTGAAAATATTCAGGGTAACTCCGGCTGTTAAAATACATTGAGATGCAAGAATGATGGCAAGAGAAGATTTGGTGCTAATAAATCTGAAACCTGGTGTGAAAAAATCAAAAATAAACAGCACAGAGAAAAACGTGCACTTCAGCTGTGCTCATTGCATTGTAATGTGATCCTGCACGGTAGCTCTCACAGCTTTTACTTGTGAAAGAGGGTGCTGGTCTTGTTCAGTAACATGGGTTCCCTACTAACCACTCACTCAGAAAATGTCATCAGCTGCCTGCTGCTAGAAAATGCAGAGTGAAGAATCTGCTGTGAGAATCACTGTGAGATGCCACAGTGCGTGAGGATTTGTTGTTATAATACAACTTTTTTATTCATTAATCTCTGTCTCCTGTATTGATCATACATTACACATTCCCAACTTGAGTAAATTCCCTTTTTATTTTAATTTCTCTCTTTCTAGTTACAATTTGCTAATATGCCTTTGGTGATACTTTTATTTTTCTCTTCTTGTAGCCAGCTTTTCCACTCAAAACATTTGTGTTTCTGGACTTCTGTAAAAGAGAATAGATAGTTGAAAGAGACCTTCATCTCCAGGAGCTTTTGTACTTCAGTCAGTGTCCCCAGTTCCAAACATTACTGAGGGCCAAGTGGCTTTCACTCTGGTTTACCCGTGGACTGCTCCTAGTATCTACAGACACTGTGGATTGAAAGAAAAAAAGGAGGGTCAGCTCTGTTAAGAGCTTTGCTTTCTACCACTTATAGTTACTTCAGTTTTGTGTAGACTGGGATGCAGAAATAGCACAAATAATTTTTTTCTTCCAAAATCATTAGATGATAAGTAAGGTACTTGCCATATAGCTGAAACTTCTGAAGTTTTTGACTAATTTTGTTGTTGCTTTGCTTAACTGCAGGCTGTTCACTCATCTCACACTATTGAGATTAAGTATTTTGGAAGAATTAGTCCTTCTGAATGCAGATTTTTTTTTTTCATGGTTATGTTGAAAATACCTGTGCTTACTTTTCCATTTATTTTTAATTTCAGTGTATACTGTAAAAATCACAGAAAAAAAGAACGAAATTGCTAAGTTGGAGGAAAATATAAATCATAGCAATGATGCAATTGCTGATCTGCACAAGCAAAATGAGAATACTAAGAAGAACTGTAGTGTGTAAGTATAACATAGCCTGAACTTTGAGTCATGGGTGGCATTACCTGTCAGTGAGGAAGTAATATAAAAACATGTGTGTGTCCTGGCAGGAGTGATGTTAAAGAAAAGTTAGTTTTCTCCTATATTTTTCAAGTTACAAATCATCAGATACAAAAATTTTGGTATTAGCTATTCCCTGAAGAAAAAAAAAAATAGAATAGAAAACCAGACTATGTTTAAGTTAGTCTTAGTTTTTTATTAGAATCCAGTTTTCAGAGGTCACAGGTACTATGTATTTTTCTATATTGGAATGCATCTGAGTTGTGTCAAATTTGGATGTTCTTAAGAATCATGTTCAAAAAAAGTTAATTTTTTAAACTAAAAAAAGCCAATCACTATCAGTGACAGTAAGGCTCCGTTATGTTGTTTAATTCTGAAATTGTCTTCCTGAAATTGAAGTATCTTTCTATTCTTTGTTCACAACGTTTCACATCACTTACTGTTCTATATATGTTCTCTTCTAAGATGTGTCATAACTGCCTCTACAAACATGTATGTCTGCACTTCTCCTAGCAGATTTTGGTGTAATTTTAACTGCAGACTGCAGAATTGTTCTTCTGTGAGCACTATTTTGGTGAATGCAATGGGCTGCAGTTCAGTTTTCTCGACAGACATTTTTCTATCAGATTATTAGTGGAACTGTGAAACACAGATCACTTTTGAGTCCTAGTAATTAGAAGTTTCTGAAGCAAGAATTTGGTTACAAGGAATTTTTTTATTACTGACATGAAATATCTACATTTTATCTGTTTGCAAGGGTAGCTAAAAAAACAAACCCGTATTTGACAATACAGAGAGCTTGGCCCACAGGATCTAATCCTGTCTTTTCATTGCAGAGTCCTTCTCTCCACAATCTGTCTAGTTCCCTAGCAGTTGAAGTGATGATTTGTTACCAATTTCTGTCCGTTTCCTTCTCTTGCAATTGTATACCTAAAGATAAATACTTGAATTCTATAATCTATATTTGAAATTTTGTTTTAGGATGTGAATGGAGAATGTGGGTGTTTCTAAGAATAAAAAGAGAATTAAAGGTAGTATCAGGGGTTTTCTAGGTTTATTTTGAACTATGTGAAAACAGAAGAAGGAATGGAAACATCAGTGATTGAAGTGGATATAGTGGCTACTGTGTGAGTCAATTCCCATACCACACTGATTTGTAACTTTACCATATATTCCCTTGACAAGAAAATTCCAGTTTTCCTGTACATTAACTTCTTGCCTGAAGTACAATATAAAATGAACACCGCTGTAAGTTTCTCAAGCCATTCACACTACTTCTTAGATATCTTTTGAAGTTGCAAATCTGTTTGCAAATCACAAACTGTTAAGTGATGTAAATAAAGAAATAAAAAAAATAAGGGTAGAACTAAGGCTCTGATCTAAATTTAAATCATTGAATTCAATGGGTTTTGGCTCAGGTCCTACAAAGAATAATTAATGGCATTAGTGTAAAGAGACTGAAAATGAGAAGTGACTCATTAATGAATACATGTATTCATAGAAGGACAATGCTTGCAGAAGAGTAGAGACTTTGTGTTTTAAATTATTGAAAATGTCATTTAACGACATACTGAAAACTGCAATAAACAAGCCCTGGCTGAATGATCAGACAATTGGAGCACTTCTGTGGTAGAATCATCTTAAACTTCTAAAATTTATTCTAGTTGATACTCCATATATACTGGGCATGATTCTAATGTTGATTTTGTAAATTCAAATGCTGTTTTGGAATCATACTCACCCCTGTAGTTGACTAATTGCCAGTAATACTTGACAGAGCTCTCAAAGAAACAGCTTTCTGGATTACTGGGTATTGTAAGTACACTGAAGCATGTTTGAAGACTTTGAACAGAATATGAGATTCTTATACTCAACAGCTCTACAGAAAATAAGATATGTGAGAGAGGTGTATTGGGATACTACTGTGTTTTCTAAAGAAATCTATGTTGGTCTGTGAAACAAAGGACTGAAGGCACAAAATGACCCAAATAAATTATATGTTTTTAGACAAGTGATAACATTTTCCTAATATTTAGTTTCTTGAATTACACAAACTAGAAACAGAATCCAGAACAATAAGAAGTGGTGGAATACTGCTGATGGAACATATTCCAATTTTATTGTTCCTCTTGTATTTTTAAAGTTTAGGTTCAAACGTGGTGAGGTTTCATGGAAAATAAAAAAAAGACAGATGAACTCAAATTTCTTATTTGGAAAATTAACATTTTGCATTTACATTTCTAATCACCAATGGTGTCAAACAATTTGTGATAATAGTGTTGAATTTCCTGAATGGGTGCTGCAATTTCTCGTTCAGTTATTGTTGACAAACTTTACTGCTGTTATAAGTGTTGATTATATGTCCTGTTGTCTCAGCACCTGGAGTACATTATTTTTTGTTCAAGGTTATTTGACTTCAGCAAATTAATTGTCAGGTCTTTGTTCTTTATTTATTTTCTTGATGGAAATTTCATTAAGTTAGATGTTACCGAAGCCTCTATTTTTTTTTTTCTACCTTTGGAGTGATTGTCTAAATGCACATTTATACTTTTTGTGACTGGATGCTACAAACAGTTTTGAACCACAGGGCATACTTGCATCTGGAAATGCCCTTTACTCGCCCTGGGGATGACTGCAGTGCAGAGTGAGCTGCACTCCTCAGTTGCTCTCATCTCTCCAGTAATGAATTATTTTCTTTGTTCAGTTGCAGCCTTGCTCTGTTGCCATTTCTCCCCTCCTCCTTGGTGAAGTAACTATCTCTGCTGTTCCAGATTCACATGGTCTCTTCAGTCCTTATGGATTTTTCCTTCTTATATTTCTTCAGTTTTTAGCTTTGATAGTATTGATGTATGTGTTCCTAAAATTGGGGTTTGTTTGTACATCACCTAGGACAGATAGTTACACATTGTAAGGTGTTTCTGTTACCACAGGGTATCTTGTATTCTGGACAAAAGCTGAATTTATAGATTGCCTTAAGCCCTGACTAGAGGGAGCATGTGCTAATTTTTTTCTACAGAAGTTTCCCATGGAGAGATCATGTGGGTTTTTTTTCCATCAGAAACAGGGTCTCTGTCCTACTCTAGCCCAGTCTGTTCAAATGATTCAATTGTTGTCAGAGTGTCAGCTCACAGCACCTCAGAATCACCTCACAGCTTGACTATTGTGTTCACTTTTGGGCACCACAGTAAAAGACAGACATTGAGGTGCTGGATTTGGTCCAGAGTAGGGCGACGAAGCTGGTGAGGGGTCTGGGGAACATGGCTTATGAGGAGTGGCTGAGGGACCTGGGGTTGTTTAGCCTGGAGGAGGCCGAGGGGAGGCCTTCTTGCTCTCTACCACTCCCTGAAAGGAGGTTGGAGTGAGGTGGGGGTTGGTCTCTTCTCCCAAGTAACTAGCAATAGGATGAGAAGAAAAGGGGTTGAGTTGTGCCAGGGAAGGTTTTGATCGGCTTTTAGGAAGAATTTCTTTCCTGGCAGAGTGGTGAGGCATTGGAACAGGCTGCCCAGGGAGATGGTGGAGTCACCATCCCTGAAGGGGTTCAAAAAATGTGTGGATGTGGCACTTCAGGACATGGTTTAGAGGTCATGGTAGCATTGGGTTGATGGTTGGATTTTATGGTCATAGAGGTCTTTTCCAACCTTACTGACTGGACGATTCTAAGTTGACTGCGACCTGTCAGTACAGAGGTTATTTGCTCTGGATGAGCGGAGTGTTTGTCAGTAGCACATACACCTGCTTAGCTCAGGAGACTGAAGTAATTTTCTGTTTTGTCTTACTAAGGTGTTATTTGCTCTTTGGAGACTCCATGCACCAGAGGTTTCCAAATTTATTTCTTACTGTCTTTAATTGAGCAACATTTGTTCAGCTACAACTTTCTGTGAAATTTTCTTTCCAGGTAGCTGTTGCCTCAGCTGGGAGGGCAGGAGACATCCAGGCCTGGATGGCTTATGCTCCTTACACCATCTTTTTTCAGGCAGGATGCTTTTTATTTAAAGACCCGTTATATGCCTCTCCTATATAGCCAGATACCAATTGCATGAAAATGTGAAAATATAAGAGGATGATGACTTAAAGGTGAAAAAGAACGTTGCTTGGCAGCAACTGAAGTTCAGTTCTCATCTACCATTAATTTATGATTAACTATTAGCCAGTGCTGTTTTCCCGTAGGGACAGCATTTGAGTTCAAATGTAGTCAGTAAGAGGTGTTATGTGGACCTGCAGCTCCGAACTGCCAGGTCAGTGCTCCCAGTGTCTGGGCTATTGCACTGAAAGACAGCATCTCTTTCTGGCTGTTTTCAGAGCAGGGCTTGCTTAGCAAATGGAGGAAATTCTAAGTCTGTGACTGCGGCTTGCATTAGGTGTGAGGTGAGTGCTGGTGATACTGATGAGAACAAAGCTGTGTCCATCTCCAACAAGAAGATCATACATGTCTGAAGGATTTACTGATGCTGCTGCTCTGAGTACCTAATATGGGGATTTAGATGCTTAATTGCTTAGAGTTAGGCTCTGAAAATTTGTGAAGCTCACTCTATTTATTCCTTATAATCTTTGTAAATCCTAGATATGTCTCTCCTTGAATTCGCAGCTTTAAAATCTTAAGAAAGTAAATATGTGCATGTAGAAGCTTTCTGAACAAACTCATTTACGTTTGACTTTCAAGACATTAAGTGAATTAGTTGTTCCAGTTGAGCTAGCTCAAGTAACTTGATGTATTCATTTCTGAATGGCTCTTTCTTTCAGGGGAGACTAATTATATGCTTTTTTTTTTGTTTTTTTTACTTTCTCCACAGCTGGAAGCCCACCTATGTAATTTTTAGCAAGCATGAAGACTATTTGAAACATGAACTTGAAACTTTAGAAGAAGATATAGAAAAAGAGAGGTATCTGATCATGTGAGATGAGGTTCCTAGCAGTAGTGCTTATTAACCTGTCCAAACTGATCAACACAAATAGTTCAGTCTGTGTCAAAAAGTTGTAAAGTTTTCAGGATAATATAAGTGACTGAATAAGTAAAGAATTTTTGGTTTACATTATTATGAGATCATGTGTTATTTTGTAGTTGCCAGTGGAATGGTATGAAATATGACTTCTTCAAATTCAGTTGCTTCCCAAATGCCAATTATAATTTTTCAGGATGTTGTTCAATTGCTTAAAATGTCAAGAAAATCCCAAGAAATGAAGTCAATGAATATTTCAGCTTTGGCAGAAATATGAAATATCAGAGCATGTTTACCAGAGCATACGTAAGCTGTATCTATGAATGATTTTTTTGCCAGTATTATGATGTCTTTGTGTATACTGTAATTCAAGTAGTTTCAGGTATTCAGATTTGGGAAGACTTTTTTGAAACACAGAGGTTTTATATTTTGTGGTGGTGTGGGTGGGTCTTGTTTTGTTTTCTTTCAGAAGCGTCATTTAATTGAACCTAAGCCTTTAAATTCCTGTACATACTAATTAAGATAACAATTGGAAGTATTCAGATAATGTAATGCTTTTCTTTATTTTTGAACATGAATTGTGTATGATTATTAGAATATTCAAATCAAGTTTTTGTATACTGCTGTATATCTTAATAACCACCAAGCATGCAAATTCAGTATTAGCTTCTGAAAAACAGAGTGAGTGTCTCAGGTCAGCCTGGTCTAAAACTACTTTAAGACCAGTTGTGAGTTAGTTTTATTTGCAGTTTTAATTTTTTTAATTTTTCAGTTTTAATTGCAAATTCAATTCTGTTTGTGAAGTGGCATTTCAGTTGTTTCATCTACATTAATTAGGGTCTGCCTTTTAAAGAAATGATTAGTTGTGCAGTATAGCTGCCTGCATTCAGTAGGATGAAGTATGGTCCCTGGAGATTTTCACTGAAATGGTCAAAATGCAGTGTGCCAAGTTAATCCTCTGGAGTTCTTGTTTAACAGTCAGGTAAAGCTGATCCACGTTTTTGAGAGGTTGCTCACCTTCACAGATCTGCTTGTGAAGGGGAAGAGGTTGGTGAAAAAATCATGGCAGACCCATCCTGAGATCTAAATATCAATTTAGAGGTGTAGCTTCAGGTAATTTAAAATGTTGGCTTTGATACTTTTCTAAGTGTTCTTTTTGCCTGTCATCCAAGGAAGCAGAAATAGCACGTCTCATAGCCTTTAATTAACTCAGTAGCTTCTCTGTCTTCTTCCTGTTCAGAGCTCTATATTTGGTGAAAAATAAGTCTAAATTTGCTTTCTATGAGTATACAATTAAGCCATTTTTGCTTTCACTAATTTGAGCTGACAAGCCAAAGAAGCATTACTTTTAAATTGCTTCTTTAGATAACTAGTTTCAATTCCAACACAAAAGTGTTTGGTCTGTTCTCCTGAGCTTAATTATAAGACATCATGACTACAAATAATAAAGTAAGTTTAATTCCTGTATTTTACAAAAGTGGTCTCTCAGATACTCCTTCTATGCCAAAGCATTCGATGATATATTCAAATCAGCAAGATGTGCATTCAGCAAATTAAAAAGACTTAAATTAGGAAGAAAAATAAGTACATTTAGAACTTTATGCTCTGAATGTGCTTTTTAGGCTGGCATTTGGGGGCACTGAGGACATACTGCTTTAGATGGGAAGACGTTATAAAAAGATGGGCAGATCAGTTTGTGTTTAATTAGGGACATATTACAGAGGTTTTAAAAATGTTCCACTTTTTTTTTTATTATTGGTTTCAAGAACATACAGAATGCTTATATGGACTGGAAGTTCATCCTGAAAATAAGTGATATGAAGAAGGAGAGAGGAATAAATAGCCATCCACATAATGTTCAGGGGGTTTGTGGGTGCTGTCCTTTCCCATTGTCATTAGATTAAAACTTTTTCTGGTTACTTGAAGGTGAACAGCGATGAATTCTAAAGAGCCTGAGTTTAACTGCATGAACTGGAGCATGTGAATTATTTAGGAAAAGTATTAGAAATAGTGACAGTTTCTCAAGACTACTATAGTATAAAACATGTTAAAATTTATTTATAATGCGTTCTTAATTGTATATCAGCAAATTTCTTTGGTGTTCAGTTATTTGTAGCATCTGTGTCGTGGTTTAACCTCAGCTGGCAACTAAACAGTAGCAGCCCCTGACTACTGCTTCCTCCTCCCTACCCTGTCGCATGTTAGGGGAGGAGAATTGAGAGGAAAAGAATACAAAGCCCTGTTTAATAGAATAACACAGAGGAGAGACAACAATAACAACAACACTAGTGAAATAATGTATGAAGTGAGTGATAATAAGCTGCATACCCGAGATGCAGCTCTCCCTGCTCCGGCCGCACGCTGAAGCCACACGCTGAGAACAAGCACTGCCTTTGCAGGCCAGCCCTCCCCTTACATAGAGGGCATGCCATCAGTATGCTATCAGACACCCCATTGGCTGGGTCAGTGGTTTATCCTGGCTGCAGCCCTGCCCAGCCACAGCCTCTCCCAGCCACTTGCAGACATTAACCCTTTCCTAGACAAACCAATCTAGTAGACAATCTACTAAATCAAATAGAGCTGAATATTTTCCATATTTCATACCTAGGAAATTTTGTACACTACACAAAAGTATTCGGTGAATCAAGACACTTAGATTCTTGAGACCACTTATGTAGAGAAACAACTAGATCGATGTAATTCTCTACCTGAGGTTTGGGAAATGTTGGTTCCTTGGTTCCTGGGTTTCAGTGTTGACCTACAACTTCTTTCCCCTAAATGGGTGTCCTGAACTTCAGTCAGTTTCACAGGAACTAGTGCTTGGAGTGTAGTTTTATTTGAAAATTAAGAGTTTACTTTTTTTTTTTCCCCTTTGACTTTTTCTATTGTATGTGTAGAAACCTGGCTGTTGAATTTGGACACAATTTCGACTCTCTTCTCTTGCCTGGGCTAGCCAGTGGGCAGCTTTCAGTCACACTCCATTTAATGATTAATAGCAAGCTGAGATATGACATATATGCCGAGTGCTTTGCAAGCAGTGAGAGCTCTCCCTCATGTAGGCTTTTTTCATGGTGCAGGTAAACATGTAGGTCACTGGCTTTAGTTGCTATTATGCACCATAATTTGCTTCGTAAAGGAAACTCTGCCTAATGTACAAGTGTACTATTAAATTAGTATTCCTAATTCTGTTGCTGACGTAACCATTTCCTAGCGGATGACGTTTCCTTCACCTTCTGAAATTTTATATTGACATATTCCAATATCAAGCAACTTTGTGTAATATTTCTTTCTCAGTTAAAGGACTAAGTTGCATTAATGAGTCATTCTGGATGTCTGTAGCTGTGATATCTCTTCATAAACATACCATCTGCATAAACACTATTAAACTCTTATTATGTATTTCATATGTGCCTAAATGTACATTTTTTTTTCAGGAATAAATAGCATAGAATGTCAACATTTGAAAAAAAAAGACATCTTTTAATTTAATTTTAAGCAGTTATTAAGCTGCTGCTTTCAAATGCAGAGATAAATATATTTAGTTGGCACTGGTTGTTATTAATAATAATAATAAAAAAGTATTAATAGTTAACTTTTGTCTGTGTGGGAAGTAGAGACTTCCTGCAGGTCTGTGCTTAGATTACCTGTGTGTGACATTAAGAACCAGAACGAGTTCCTTGGTTGCATTGTTAATTATTCAGCTTTCCCAAAAGACACTACTTTTGTATGGGAAATCACCTGTAATAAAAGTTATGCCTAGCAGCATTATTGGTGCAATAAAAGACTCATCCCAATGAGGTAATTGAACATTTGATCTGTCATTAGCAATCTGTCTTAGAGATTCCTTGCCTGAGTGAGAAAAGCTGAAAACCCCCTCAAGTCATTTCCAATGTAGTCACTGTCACTGATTTAAGCCAAGAGGGTGGCTGTTCTGTTCAACAGCACTTTTCTTTCTCTTCTTTCCAAATATAAATTTATTCAATTTTCAGCTTTTTGTGATGAGCCACACCCTATTACCTGTGGTGGGTTTTGTTTGTTTTTATAGTACAATTAAGTTTTAAAATTGCCATGAACATTAATTGATGTTACCTATTTTAATAATGTAATGAGCATAACATACTCACATGATGTCATTGAAATCATATTAGTGTAACACTAATTTAGAGGGCAGTCCTACAAGAAGCTGAGCATTCTGTCTCTTTGCCAATTAAACATTTTAAGTGTTTGCTTAACCTTAAGGAGGAATAGTCCTATGGCTTTAGTGTGACTAATGTGTGTATTTAAGGCTGCTCTGAGTCAGAGGCAGATTACTCAGCAGCTCCTTGGAGGCAGCTCTTAGTTCAGTGATGCACTACTGGACCTCAGGCCAAATTCTCTTCTACTGTAAGTTTGATACAACCTCACCAAAAACAGTGGAGTTGTGCTATTATACATCAACAGAGAATTTGGCCTGCAGTGATTTTCATGATAATTACAGAGGAAGAAAATATTTATCATCTGCCAGGCTACCTTTGAACATGGTATGGTCTACATTCCTTTTGAAACAATGAAGTTTGACTGATTTTTACATCATGACTCTATTCTTTGTTCCATGCAGTGTAATCTTCCTTGAAAATAACTGGAAGATAAAAAATACAGCCACATAGTGATATATTAAATATAACCCAACTTTTTCCCAGGACAGCAGCAAGTCTAATTGACATTCTGAACAATGGCTTCATGTGAAAAAAAATAAATTACTTGTATTTTTATAGGAAAATGTACCAGGATTACATAACCCAGTATAAAGAAGTTCTGAAGCAACACCGTGAAAAATATGCAGAAACTCCTCTTGCACGGTTGTATTACCAAAAAAAGAGAGAGCTTGAAGAAATCCAAAGCAGAGTTTTGAAACAGTGTGAAAAATATAAATTGAAAGAAGATGCTTGTGTGGATATTCTGGGTACTACTATTATCAATGCTTTTACAGTTAATATTGATAGTGCACTGCACACTAGAAGTGCTATACAGAAAGCCTCTAATTAATTTTCCACAGTTTCTCTTTAAGGTAATAAAAAGGTCTTTGTGTTGTTAGACCATTTTTAGGAAAAAAAATCTGTAGCAAATCAAGACTTTGAGCAAGGATTTGGAGCATACATAGACTCATGGAATGCTTTGAGTTGGAAGGGACCTCAAAAGGTGACTAGTCCAACCCCCTTCAGGGAGCAGGGACATCCCCAACTAGATCAGGTTCCTCAGAGTCCCATCAAGCCTGATCTTGAAAAATTCAGGGTCCTGACTATGCTCTTCAAACATACTAATACACCTTCCTCCAACCCATGAATATAATGGGGAGAGGTTTGCTATTTGGCTTCTTGGGGTAAAAAAGTCCTAAAAATACTTTAGAATTAGCGTCTCAACATTTAAAATTTATTTTTCATAGACTTTCTAGTGCTGTTTTTAGTGGCATTACTCTCTGTTGTACTGCTATTTCTGTTACGCACACTAAGATGAGTGCTCTGGATCTATTATTTTATTTTGTATTTGTAAAGAAAATCAGTTTTGTGAATTAATGATCTGAAATTAAGTTTTATTTTTGCAGATCCTGTTCCTTTTAAATCCCTAAATGATTGGGCTTTACAGATGTATCCTTGATTTGTAGTGTTTATGCAGTTGACAGGGAAGAAAGTTCATATTTATTTTTCAGAACTTTCTATTAGAAAATATAGTAAATATTTATGTGTTTGTGTTTTGAGGGGCAGAATTAGCATTTCTCTGTGAGAAAACTGAAGGTCAAATAATACTCTTCAGTGTAAATTTATGGGAGAATTCTGGGGAAAGAAAATAAAATTTCACTGAAGGAGCTTTTACTTCAAAGTCTTCATGAAGGAGAAGCCTAATTGAGGTTAGATTTGAAGATTTGTCTAGGAAATGTAGATGTGCCAGAGCCTTCTGCACCTCTCACATCCGTGCTTATGGCACAGGGGGGTCAGGGATCTGGTAGTATCACTTGCTTGGAAAAAGAAAAGTCATGTTGCAGTCTGTATTCCATAACTTGAAAGTGCATCTTCGAGGCAAAAGACAGAGGAAATGATAAAGCTTGCTGCAGCTGCTGCACAAGAATCCATTGAACTAGAAAAAGAAGCAGAGGAATTACAAATGAAAATTAATTATTTAAAAAAGGTAACTGTGTTTTAATTTTATTTTATATAACCTAATTTTATATATGTAGTTACTTATAGCAGCATGATATTTTCTGAAACACAAAAGCTAGTGTATTTTCATGCAGATTCCAGAATTAGTAATTATGCTTCTATAGCACCACATACATTTTCTTAAAGAACAGAGGTTCATGAATGTAAAGGCTCTTAAAGGTTGCTTTCTATTAACCTCAGTCTGCACCATCATTTCTGTCAAGCCACCATGCCACAGAGACTCTCATGCTGGCTCATGAGGGGCAGACTTCAAAACAGAGTGGGGACATTCCTTAGTGAGCCCCAGGGCTTGAGTATACGGATTTTGTAGGTCCTGCTGGTTTTAAAGGTTTTGTTAATTTGAATGCGCTTAACTAAATATGCTTTACAATAAGAATCATGTAAAGTTTTCTTGCCCCCTCCCCCACCATTATGTGGGTATATAATACTCTGAGGTAAAACTGGCTGATTTTAGAGGGGAGGTCAGCACAGTTCCACTGACTACAAGCAGCACTGGTTCCAAAGGGATGGTCTTCAAAAAAAAGGACTTTGTCAGGTCAGCATTTTGACCCACTCCTCTGCTGGGAGGTAAAAGGTCTCTCCTAAGCCTGAGTAGCCCAATCTTGTTGGCCAGCCTTGTGAAGTTTGGTGAGCTTTTATAGTATAGCCTCTGGACACTTTTAGCTCCCTGGACTGGATGATCAGGGAGTCCATTTACTGCTGTGTCCACCTGTTCCACCTCAGCCAGCATCTGCTGGTGGAAGCCTGTTGTGCACTGGTGGTGTTTTCTGTTTGTATTTTGTGATACTGTTTGACTCTCATCTGTAGAGCCAAAAGTTCCCAGTGGGGTAGGTTCTGTATAAACATACAGTAAGAAGGGATGTGATGAATTTATAACTATGAATACCACGTAAGGAGGTCCTTGTTCTGAAGAGATATATAGAGTCTGTGCTCAAAAACTTCTGTGTTTATTCTAGTTGTTAAAGTTGGTCCAACAAAAAATAGTGCCTCTTGTTAACCTTGTAGTGCCTATTTCTTCAGACCATCTTGGCTACAAGAACTCTACTACTGTGAACTGGTTCATCAGGTTTAGAAAACATTTTCAATATGTAGCTTTAATTTTTTGTATTTTCTTTAATTTAATTTTATTTTATTTTTATTTGTTCTTTATCTTTTAAGAGTTTTGAAGAGACTATAGAACATCAAAATAATTCTGAAATGATTGAAGGAAAAAATCAGAAAAGTCTAGAGAAGTCAAAGGAGTTTAAAGAAAGGTACATTTAAGAATTATTTCTTTCTCTGGCTGTCATCCAGAGTGCTGTCAGCACTTACACAACGACTGGCACAAAACACAAATTGTTGCTCAGTAATGGTTAGGATGGTGGCAAATTTTGATTCCCAGAAGTTAAATGTATCTGGAAATAACACTGTTCAAAAGTATGTTGTAGGAACCCATGCAGTTATTGCTGGTGGGTCTATGTGAACAGTTTTGGGAGTTTTGAATGAAAATACAGGGACTGTGCAAAGATAAAATACACGGACTCTACTGAACTCATATTTGGGGAGAAAGAGTCAAGGTTCCACATGTCATTTGCTTCAGTTCTGAACTACTAAGAAATTTAACTTTTAATTTAATTCTTAAAAACAAGCATGAGTGAAAGTTTCATAGACAGGATTAATGGCTTAGTAAATTAGTTGTCATTTACAACTGGGGCTCACTTTAATTTGAGCTCAGTTACGATGACTGAAAATCACCATCAGGACTGTCTTGCACTTATCTGGAATCCTTGTGAATGCTGAAACTTCATTCTTAGAGCTGCTGCTTTTAAACCAAAATTCATTTTAAACTGAAAATATCTCCAAAAGACTTTGTCCAAGTGATTTTGCATTATGGTGTGCTTGAAGAAGTTTTAGTGGGCTATACAGAAATGTGTAATTTTAATGATCTCTAAGATCCTTTCCACAGGGATCCTTTCAAATTTAGATCTTTAATATTTTCTTACAGCCTTATGAATTATCCAGATTTTTTTTTTTTTTTGGTTTAAGCCTTTATACCCATTCTGCCTTCTTCAGGTGCTTGTGCCTTCACATGAAGTTGTGTCTTGACTGCATACGGGTTGATCTCTTTGGTACTTTTACTGAAGCAATAATTCCATGGCTTGCGTCATGGTTATAAGATGTTGTAAACATTTTATGCTATCCTAAATCACACTGACTTTTAACCTCCATGTATGGGTTTATGTGATATCATGTATGGTGTCAGACCATCACTTGAGTATTAATTAGTATGTTTGTCCTAGAGTAAATTTTAAAACTTATTTATATCCATTGCAATGGTTTGAAAACAAACCAATGAGAGACTCCAAGTCAGAAATACAATTTAATAAGAAAAAAAAATAAATAAAAGCAATACTACAAAGGAAAACAACAGACAGAGTCAGAATACAACCTGATACTCTGTAGTTAGGGTGGTGGTAGCAGTCCAGATGAAACAGTGGTCTCGTAGAAAAGATCTGGTAGCTCTTTTCCTCTGGAAATCCAGTGGGTAAGGCCCCCTGTGCTGTACTGAACCCCAGTTTATATCCAGGTGGGAGCACTTGGCTCCTCCCCCTGGGTGGAGCATCTCACAATGGGTTGATATCAGTCTATGAGTCATGCAGTGGGTCCTTGATGGTCCATTAAACAGAAATAGCTCCTGGGGGGAGTTCTGTATGAGTCATGGGGCGAGGCATGGATGGGCCCATTAACAGGGAGGAGGACTCCTGCTGGGTGGGAAGGTGTTAACATCTCCCCTGACCTTGAACCTCTTTCCTTATCTGTTATAGCCTGGGGTGTGAGGTCTGTCCTGGGCAGCTGCTACCAGTGATTTTCTTAACAGCCCATGAGCACTGACATAGAGAGTATAGAATATACAGTTTTGGTTCTACCCACATAAGGATAAACTGGTCCCAGCCCCTGTAACCATGACAGTCCATAACAAAGAAAATGACATAAAAATGTTTTTAAAGAAAATCCCTGTTTGGCATTAGTATATTAAAAAAAAAGGTCTTCACTAGACAGCGTGAAAGCATCTGATAAAGGAACTACTGATGTTAAAAATAGGTGTGTTACTAATCTATGATTATAAACACTGTGAAAAACCCCACAAATGTAAAATGTACTAAGATAAGGAGCCATATGAATTAAAAGCACTGCAGACTCAAGGCAATGCACAAAACCATAACAGCAGAATATGGGCACCAAAGGCAGTAGTCTCTTGTGAGCCCTTCTGCAGTCTTAACTAGTAACTGCAAGGTTACTAGCGATCAACAAGAGCTTGGGAAATAAAAAGAAGATATCTTCATCTTCTGTTGCAAAAGAAGAAGAAAAAAAGAGTTTTACTTTGTGTCTCCATGAACTGGTGCAGACCAGCGTGAAGAGAAACCAGCAGCATCAAGGGCAAGAACTAAGCAGAGCAGCAAAAGCACTGGGCAGAACAATGTACAAATTAATACCCATGAAATGCTTTAGAGAGCTACAAGACAAGAAACCAACTTGGATGTTAATTAGTAGGTGCTGATATTGGTGTCCTTTGGGCAGGAGGATGGCAGTGGCAGCTGTTCTTTTGAAAGGCTTGGAACATTTTAGTTTGAATCTCCTATTGCTGGCCAGCTAGTCACTGATCAGGCTGACTGCAAAACCCAGATTCCTCTTCTCATACCAGATGTTTTTTCTGATTAGTGGGTTTTCCTAGTTCACCAGTTGCACAGACAACTATCATAGTTAAAATATACAGACCAAGACTTCTCATCAATCACCAAATAGGACTCAACTCTTTTTGAAGCCCTAGTGCTGATTTCTCAATTAGAGGTGATATTTATTTATTTATGAAGGGCTGACATCTTGAACTGTGCTTTGGCATATAACATGTTCATTCTCTGCGCTTTTGTAAAATGTTTGAGGGAGTTTAATTCCATTATTCTGTAATTGTGTGGTTGCGTGTTTTTTTTTTTTTTTTTTTTTTTTTTTTGTTTTTTTTTTTTGTTTTTTTTTTTTTTTTTTTTTTTTTTTTTTTGTTCCCCTAGTTTGATTATGTATTAATTCTACCTCCGAATACCTAAAATATCTTGCATTCCAAGAGATTTTTGCTGGAACTACTTGTGAAGGATATTCCATGGTGGATAATTGCAGTTTTCTCAGTATCTTTGCATTACAAGTGGTGAGCTTTTACTGATCAAAGAAAAAACTTCATAATACTGTTCTTGGAAAAATACTTGTAAGGCTGTTTCTGGACTTCTGAATGTAAACATATGGAAAGAGTCAACTCTGTGCTGACCACAACCTCATAGGCAGTTATTAGCTACTGATTATTATGTCAGCTAGTTATTAAAAGTCCTGCTTCCAAAAGAACTTGCTGACATGTGCCTGGTTAGAATACTGAATGTGGCTTCAGTAGAGAGTCCTGGTAAATATCTTAGTAGCAAGTGTTATTCTTTATACGTATAATCAAATACACCATAGTGAAGATAAAGATATTTGTCATTGGGCTTCGTTATGCTACAAAGAGGAAACCACTGCTAAGAAAGTGGGATTTTATTTTGACTTAAGGATATCTATTTTTTTCTTTGCACTTCAGTAAAAAAAATGTTATCTATTTCACAGTATGGATCAAGATAAAGATTTTTTTATCTGCTCACATATCTACTAACAATGAAGTAGAGGAAGAATACAAATGATCTTTCTTATTTTTACTGCAATTTGGACTATTTTGAGCTCCATTATGCAGTTTGATTTTTCTTACAATGGTTATTAATTATGTTGGAGAAGATGCATGTGGCTTTTTTCAATAGTGTTTTTGGGGAGGTAAGGGAGCAGGTAAATTCCATATACATAAAGTTTAACTGCAGGCTCTTTTGGAAGTTTTTGGTACTTAAAAAATACCTATCTTAAGAGCTTCTGAGCCCTGTTTGTAACTCTGCGTTGATGCATTTTTTCTGACTAGATATGCAGTGTGAAAGAATTCTGCCTTTCATGGAGAGTGAGTTTTTACAAACCAAGAGCTGTCTGCTAGGCTCTGCAGAAGCACATGGAAACTGAGCTCCAGGAACCTTTAAAAAAACAATTTAGCATCCTAAATTCTGTTAAAAAATGTTTATGGCAATCTAACTCATGATCTCAGCAGCAACAGCCTCATTCAATTAAGTTTTGAATGGAGATTGTGGTAAAGTGGCCAAATAAGCCATTTTTAATAAAGTGAAGCAGTTTTAGCCAGCATTCTGTGCTTAGCTCTGTTTTAATTTCTCCTTGTTTTGCATTCTGCATCTGAATTTAAAGATAACACCAGCCATATACACATCTTATTTCCTCTAGTACTCATTCTTGACAGAGGTCATATCTATAATTACTGTAACTGAAAGAAATACAGACTTTAAAAAAGGTCTTACATTAGTCTGGGCTTTTTGAGGTCTGCTTTAGGTGGTATGTGGTTTATATAGTTTGTTAGGTCTCAGGCTGGCACAGCGCTAGGTGTATATGTGACTTTACAGGTGAAGATGGTTCTTTCCATCAGACTTATTTGACTGAGGTGCATTCAGGGGTTTGTGGGATCACAGTAGTGCATGTATATTAGTTTAATGTGTTGTTAGGTCCACATATCATAACCTGTGCTTCTAGTTTGGTATTTTTTAGTAGTGTTGCTAATTTTACTCCACACTTCCTCATAAAGTGCATCCTACATTGTATCTTATTTTTATTTATGGAAATTTTCAAGAAGAACAAAAAGACTGACTCAGGTCTTCATTTGTTCTGAATAGCATTGTTTAGTCAGCTCTACACCAGATGTTGTAGCTAGAAGCACAGGGGCGCAGAGCAGGAGTGACAAAGAGAAAGTAAAACAGAACTCAGTATTTTCAGGAATGGTAAATTTTCCTGTGCCAAGCAGCCATTTTACCCTTCATTGTTCTGCTAACCTTTGTCTTTCTACACTGTAGAAGGCTATTTTACCCTAAACAGATAATTGCCCTAGAAGTGAAAAATTTCTTGTGGCAGTTTCCTCTTCTGTGTATGTGTAGTGTGAGTATTCCAGACCATCTCTGAGGGAGAAAAAGTTTTTTTTAAATGTGAAAATGTGATTTCACAACTACAGTAATAAAGTACTCTGATTAAAGTGTGAAACCCCAAATTACTGATACTTTTCTTTGTTACTGACAAAATTTAAGTCAGCAATGTTCTTATCATTGGTTTATTAACTACTTCATGTCTTCTTTCCATAATACTATTTAAAGAAAACTTCAATTCTTATAATTTTCTGGAGCTGAAAGAGGTAGAACCTCCCTGGCAGCATACATCTTCTTTGAAAACTCCACTAATTTGAAGCAATTGTATTTTATATTTCTTTTCTTTTGCAATTGTTATCCTTTAATTTTTTTTAATTTAACTTTTTTTTTTTTTTCAGGATCTTTGAAGAGAATGAACGTCCATCTTTGGTACATGAGAAACATCAACTGTATAAACCATTACCTGTCCCATGCATTCCTCGGAAATTAGTCCAGTCTGTACAGAGTATTAGATTCTCAAAGCAACTAATGGAAACAGCTCACACAGGTGCAGTGTGCTTAATGATCTTTCTGGGAGGATTTTGGATTATCTTTGTGTAAATGAATAGAAACCATGATAACAAATCTAGTGAACTGCTCCTACTGTAGTAGTTGAAGCCAGGCTTTCAATGGAAGTTGACTACTTGCTTGTATTTATGTTCTGAAAATCTTCTGATTCCTCTCTTAGCTGTGCAATGAGTAAAGTAACGTGACAGATGTGCCATATTGACAGAAAAATCTGAAGCATACCCTTAGCCCTGTTTGCTCCAATACAGTAAATATTAACCAAGCCATATTTGAAGTAATTGGACTCATACTTTTCATTTGTTGTGATAATTTTTATTTTAGCTCTTTATCAAAAGAATAATGTATAAATATTTTTCCCTTTTAGCTCTCTATTAAAAGGAAAAATTATAAGCTTTGTTCCCAAGTGCAGTTTAACAATACCGTGCTTTGGATATTTAATCCTACTGACAGTATTAACATTTGTTAATTTAGGGAGACTAGAAAAAGAGAAACCTATGGAACCTTCAGTGGCCACTAGCAGTTCCTCCAGCCTTGCAGAAAATTCATCACAGGTATGCAGCTCTCCCACTGGATAAAGCATGAGATTGTATAATCTTTTTATGTTAGTTGTTTAAATTTAAAACAGTCTAAATACACCTAGTTCTATTATACCTTACATAAAATTCTTAATACAGTAACCAGGACACTAATCTTGTTAATCTGCTAATACCTGGTAATAAAAATCTTTCTTTGGTGCCATTTTTAATTTAAGAGGAAATGTGTGTGTTCTTACAAAGTGCAGCTGGTAGTCACAGTAAGCATTCTAATGCCAAACTTGAGGTGGACCATCTATCCAATTTATTTTGTAAAATAGTTTTTAACATTTAGAATAACTTTTGTAGATTCACTTGGTTGTATGTAGCAAATTTTTGGAATTCTAAAGGAGGAACATAATCTTCTATTACTGATTAATTGTCATCCATCTACTCCATAATGAAGGATTTTATAAAGGAGTAAATGTGCAGGATACTCTACAGGACTGCCTCCACTTAACAGCTGACTTTCTGACGTTTAACCAGAAACAAAAATCTGGGGTGAGAGGAACAAAATCATGAGCAGTGTTGCTTTGTGCACTTGAGAAGTCCAGAACTACATTTCCATCTCTCACTCATAAACAAACAGCTCCTATGGCACTTTTATTGAAAAGGTGAATTCTGTTGCAGCTTAGTACCGTACATATACAAACACAATAAACCAATCCAGACACAAACTGGAGAAGCATCTTGCAGAGTTACGAAAACCACTAATAAAATCTCATTAAGTACAAGAGCATTCAATAACAAAGAGACTGTTAAAATATAAAAGGAGTACTCCAATATGTTAAGGTCATAGAAGATAAAATAAATAATGTGCAGCTGTGTCCACTGTGTAGAAGTTTGGGGAAGTTTCGATACCAAAACCTTTATAAAGGTATACCAAAGTCTTTATAAAGGACATCTCACGAGATCTATTTAAAACCAAATTTTAATGAACAAAAAAAATTGCCAAGTAAAAAAATTAACAGAACCAGTTGTGATTTTCTTAAGAATATCAAGGGAACTGAAAGATGAAGTGAGTGCATCACTAAATGGTTTAGAGTAGAGCTCGTGGCAGAAGAAGAAACCTTCATAAGACAAGACAACATGAAGGGCAATGGCTAGACTGAGTGGAACAAGACCAGAAGAAATTTCAAGCAAGTGTTATTTGTGACTGGCTGAGGGAGTTGGACATGATGAGGATGATGGAAGAGCTGTTGCCAGGGTAATCCACAGATGAGGATGGGAATCTGGGACCTAGAGTTGCACTTGGAGAATAGTGGGAAGCAGGAATTCAAGGTTAAGGGAAAGTTAAGAAAGGGCGATGGCAACAAGGAAAAGAAGGTGGAGTCTGAGGAGAAATAAGAAGACTGGAAGAAAGAAGGTTGCTATGCTGCAGAAAAGGTGTGCTGTAAACTACAGGAGCTGAGTGGCAGGCAGCTTCTCCATAGCCAGCCCTTTTTGTCCCCCACCCCAAATTGAGTTCAATTTGATATGTTTTGTAAATTAAAACTAAACCAGAACTAGCAGCTCCCTGTGAAATAATGTGTAATCTGATGCTGAGGCATAGTTTTGTAGTGCCACTCTCTCCTTGAGGCACAAATACATGCTACCTGTAAGACTGAGGGCTTCTGAGCTGATGCAGATCCGTGCAGCAGGAGTATATCCGTTTCCTGCAGCTTTTCGCTCCATACAGGAGACACACTCACTGACGCACATACTCCCTTTGGCCTTCAGAGGTGGAGAGAGGACTGGCTCCAGCCCTTTCTGCATTGTCAAGCAAGAGTAACCTGGCTGCAGCAGTGGAAAGCTTGCATAAAGTTTGTAAATTATGTGATGCTGTTTGTGCGACAGAAAGTTATTATTCACATCTAGATATCAGTGTTGTGAATGAGATGTTATATGAAATTATAGCAGTGGTTTTTGGGTATCATGCTGTGAAAATGTTGGTAAAGCAAAGACAGGCAAAAAAGTTTTTGTGTTTTCTGACCCCTAAAGAGTGGTTAAAAGAGAGGATTTCCACAGTCTAAGGAGAAATCAGAGTGAATTGTTGAAGTGAAAATTTAATATGCAGACTCATTTGAATTTTTTGCTTTGTTTTAGATAATTATTGATACTGCAGGAACTAATAACCCACAAATTGCCCAAGTTCCATCAATAGCAAGTTTACAAAACCAAATGCAATTCAGGTAACTTTTTTTTAATAAAGTAGTTTTTGTTCATGGGATTAAGTTTTATGGAAATAATCTGTATTTAGACAAACACTAATTTTTCTCTTTTAGACTGGTAATCCCTCCAAAGCAGACAACTTCCAAACAACAGTTTGAGAGTGAAAATGAAGTAACAGGTAAAGAACCACTGTCATTTTTTTTGATAGGTTGTGCTGTTACTGTTTATTGAATCACATACTTATAAGGACAAAATTTTAGGGGCCAAATTTTAATTCTGGTATGAAGTGGTCCACCATTTTTATTCTTTTTCTACCTTGATTGTTTAATTCAGACTTTGAGTATAGCAGACAGGCAGTGCACCAATTTAATTGACTGCACTGCTCAGCACTGTGGATTCCTTCTGCTTTGACCATTGCTAATGAAAGGAACTTCTAGAATCTCTTGCAAATCCACACTCTAGTCTCAAATTACTTGGGTAAAACTAAATCCAGTCTGAAAATCTGCCCAGAAGGCATGAAAAAAGGGACAGAAAGGGCCTATAATAATCTCAGTAATTTAGGAATCTTGAAGGATAAGATTAAGATTATTAAAAATGAAAATTAACTTGATAAATACTTACAGAATGCTTACAGAAACAATGCAGGGCAGTTACAAATACACCTAGAGTTTTTGAATTTGCAAGTCACTGAACTTCAGTTTAAATATGTTTTTTTTTTCCTAATTATACTGCCTATTTAGATGCATGCCAAAAAGTATAGTCTTTTTCTTTCTTATAAATAGGATCCTAATTATGTGTCCTGAAATGCAGGAACTCAAACCACAGTGCCTGAGACTTTGCACAATGTGAAGCTTAGAGCAGAACATCTGATAACATTGTTCTCATTTCTCATCCTGGCTTTTGCTCTGTTCTTTAAGATAGCTTCATCAGTGTCACCTGGATGTGCTTTTTGTGTTGTTTCCACCTGGTTTCTGTGGACTGGTGTTAGCCCTCTCTGAGGGCAGTGGCTGGATGAGACAGCCACAGCACTCTCAGGGAACAGTAGCTGGGTTTGGGGAATGCACCAGACATGGGAAGCAGCCCAAATATTGTTTAGGTAGCGCGCCGATGGCAGAACAGGAGGCAACACAGCCCCAAAGTGAACTATTACAAAACTACAGCCAGAACACTTCCTCACCCACAGCGATGCCAAACTACTAAATCATTCTCAAGGGTTCTTTGCCATGATGTCATTTTATTTACCTGTTTAGAATCCTGTTACAGTACTAACAGTGCCACTTTTTTTGTAGCAAACCAAGAGGCCAAATGTGGTGATAAGGAACTGGGAGATGAGCCAAAGGATTCTTCCTATACACCTCAAGTAAGCAAAGCACTTCTTATGTCTTAAGTAATTGTTTTATTTAGAATAATCAAAAGTATCTCAATATATTTGAATCTATTGGTAAGAGGTAAGTCTCAGAAATGGGCAAAGTGATTCATGTTAAGGCACCCAACAGGTGAGAAACCGATCAATGCCTTCTGATTACTCCATAGTGCCATTGCTCTTGATCTCATCAGTGTTCTGGAGGTTTTAATGCTACCTTAACAACAGGCTGACTTTAACATCCTGTGACTACCCTATGCATATTGTAGTTTTTGTATGAATTAGTGCATACCATTTTCATCAGTGTGAAGTGACAAAACATTATTTTAAAAAAAAGTTTGCATTAGAAATTATTTTCTCTCACAAAACAATAGTGAATATTCTCTGTTCTGGCTACAGAGTCTGAATGGCTCCATTGGCATTGCTTTTTTCCTGAATGTGAGGTCAGGCTCACCATACCATAATATTCAAGCCAGTTGGGTGTACAGCTTGCATACAGAGGTGTCAGGAAGGTGTGGTTTAACACAGGGCAGCAGCTATGCATTGCACGGCTGCTTGTGCTCTCCCTCCACAGTGAGATGGGGGAGAGAATCAGAAGGGTGAAAGTGCAGTCCTGTGGGGGTTCACATAAAGACAGTTTATTATGTATAGCAAACGCTGTGCAGAACAAAATAAGGAATGCATTTACTATGTCCCACCTACAGGCAATTTTTAGCCATCTCCAGGAACACAGGGTTTCACCTCACCTAATGGTTACTTGGGAAGACAGATGCCTTAACTCCAAACATCCCCCCTTTCCTCCTTCTTCCCTGCAGCTTTTCTTGCTGAGCACGACATCATGTGGCTTGGAATGTGACCAATATTCCAAGATTCCAAGTAATATGGCTCCCGTTTGGTCAGTTGGGGTCAGCTGTCCCAGCTGTGTTCCCTCCCACCTGCTTGTGCACGCCCCAGCTGCTCACTGGCAGGGCAGCAGGAGAAGCAGAAAAGGCCCTGATTCTGTGTGAGCACTGTTCAGCAACAACTGAAACATCCTTATGTTAATAACACTGTTTCCATCACAAATCCAAAATATAGCAACATACAAGCTATGAACTCTTAGCCAAACCAGAATACACATCAAGTTTGAGATACTCCTCATCTTCTGGTTGGCTCACTACAGGCTGATGCCTGCAGGCAGCTGGCAGAGGACAGCTTTAAAACAATATTGAGTCTGGTGGAAACAACTCCACAGAATCCAAGTGGACGTTGTCATTTTTTTCTGAGGCAGAAGAGATAATCCCAGTCAACTGAAATGTATTTGGGTAGTGATGTTGCTTAATTTCACCAGAGGATATCAAGAGGATTCCACTGTGAATTTAAACTTTATGCTAAGACATACTTTAGAGTGAAATAGTTCTTTTATCAGTGCTTTCAGTCAGTTCATGAGTTTTTTTTATTTTTTTTAATGAAAATTTTCATATATAGTTTTATTCACAAGAAGTCCATTTAAAATTAGATAAATTAATGTTACAGTTTTAAGTATGGTGAACATGTCACTGTGACCATTTTATTAAAACCCTTTATTTTTCATGAGAATAAAACTAACCTTAAAACATATAATGAATATGTTAAGAGGTAAATGGACTAATGATATTTTGGGAATTGTTATGTGCCATAGACTTCTTGTATATTTCTTTTTAATAGGACATACACACAAGTTTTAAGTTAAGTGAAGATAATCCTGACACAGCAGAAGAAAGTGGAGAACATTTTTTAGGAACACCGGAAACACCCGAGTTTGTAGGATCACTTGAGGCAAAGGGGAAGAAAACAGAAATCACAAAAACTCCTCCATTTGAATTGTATGATTCAGCTTTTCTTTTGTTTTTGAGCAAAGTTGTATTGATGGTTATTGTAGAAGCATTTCCACTATTTTTGAAAGAGATTTAGAAAGACTTCTCTAGAAAGCTTTTCTGAAAATATTCAGTTGTTTTATTTTTTTTTTTTTCTCAGTTATGCTAGGTAATTTGTTAGATTTCCTTCTTAAAGTATCATTTCCACTTCAGAGCTATTTTGAAGGAAGGGGACTCTGCAGAGAAATATGTAAGACACAGTTTCTTTGCAGCTCTTTGGCTAAAATTGTCTTTCCCTGCAGTAATATTTCTTACAGCAATTTCTATCTTTAACAGATTTTTTTTTTGTAAAAGAGTAGGGAATTGGTAAGAACACCACCTCACTTTGCTTTAGAGAGTTGTGGCACCTGTCCCGTGTTGAAAGAAGCAATTGTTGGTGGAAGGCATAGGAATCTAAAAAAAATGACAAAACAGAAAAAGAAAAGAACAAAAAAAGCCATCTATGATACTTTTAAAAACTATAATTGTAGTTTCTTCCTTTCTGTCTGTCTTTACAGCATTCACAATTTAGGTTGTGAAGAAAGAACATCAAAATCTCCTGCCTTTTCTCTGATGAACTTCTTCCAGAAGTCACCTGGCTTCAATTTATTTGAATCTTCTGTGTTTGGCGCAGAAAACTCATCTGATGAGGTAAATATGAGTACTGGAGAATACTAACTTTCCACAAAGCTAAATATACTAAGGAAACAGCACTGACAGTGAATGAGGTTTTTCAGACTGGTTTTCTTTGTAGCAAATGTTTTACCTGATTTGCTTATTTTTACATTTGACATTCTTTGAAAATGCTTATCTGCTTTCCTGGAGATCCCCCAATGATGCCCTCTGATCAAGTGTGGATCTTTCCCACATGGGTAAGGTTGGGTCTTGTGCAAATATACAGATGACTAGATTCACAGAAAAGCAAAAGGCTTTTCCAGGCTTTTTCAGCACTGCAGTGCAAAACATTAGGTACCCTGGCAGTGTTCACAGCTCAGCTGCCTGTCTTGTGTGGTTTCGTCTTGCTGAAGGGAGGAATCTGGTACTTAAAATTTTATTTTTTCCCCTCCATTTTTCACAAAATGCAGAATACTGAGAAAAGGAAGAAAGGAGTGTCTATTAGGAATATTGAAAAGCAAATAGAGATTTGCTATATGTAAATGGAGGAGATAGTTAGGCAGCTAATTAGAACAGGGAGCAGAATCCAGATTTTTCTTTGCAGGTTGCCTAACTACAGTGCTCTAGAATAATTTTTACACTCCTGGACTAATAGGTAGATAATTGGTTGTTCAGGACAGATGTGTGCCAGTACAGAAAGTAGAGGTTACATATCACTGCTGGCAATGTAGATTCAAACCCCCTGTGAACCCAGGTATCTCCTGTTTCAGTGGGTGTGCTCAGTCTGGAGGTTACCAGCTAAAAGCTGAAGGAGGGAAGAGGGGGATGCATAATTTTGTTTGGTGTTGTTGTTATCTCCCAGCATCAGCTGTGTGTAGGAGAGATTGCTCTGGTGAGTAGTTAGCGAATTGTTTAGGAATGAGGTAGGTATTAAGTCACCTACTGCTGTCAAAACTTGTATTATTTTGTGCCTATTCAGTGGCAGAAGCCAAGAATTTACCAGCCTCTTGCAGCTGTGTGAAATTCTTTCAAGTTAGCTGGGAATTTTGAAAGACTTAAGCATCTGTTCTAAATCTACTTTAAGAGTCTTCTCAAGAGTGTTGAATGGTTATTCTGCTACTCTTTCTGGAAATGTCAGGTCCTACTCAGCAGGCAGGTATTATATTGTTGTTTAGAGGTTTTCTAGAACATAATAAAATTAAATAATTTTGAGTTTTTTCAGTTTAAAAACCAGCAGTAAGCCAGATCAGATTTTGGTCTGTTCTCAATCTGATGTTTTTTCCAGAAGAATGGAGGGAATGTGTTTGCAGACGTAAGCAAATGTCATGGAAGCTATCTCATCAGAGAGTTTACCATGCAACTTTAGGGACTGATACGTACAGTTAAAAGCAGATTTTTGTGAAGGCTACTAACATTTACAACAACAACAGTGTCTGGAATGAACTTTTTATGTACCAGCATTAGAGTTAATAGTTTTTCTTTCTAATTTGTTAAATAAAATTGGCTGTTTGTTTCAGACAGAGGAAAGTTACCCTGTGGGAAACCTGAACCCTCTGTCCCCACAGAAAGATATTGGTAAGTCTGAAACTCGGATGTTCGTGTGTATACCAGAGTCTTCTACTTGTGCTTGTTTGACTGGCAAGCTCATGGTCCTGCTTAACAAGGCACCTTGGGTTATCTAGAAAGGTGTTCAGCTGTGATGCTGTAGTTTAGTGGTTATTGTATTCTTTCGTGTTTTGACTAGCTTAAAACTTTCTTTGCCTGCCTGGCTTCAAATGTATAAGATACCATGAAAAAAGAGGTATGAGGCAAAAAAGAAATAGGGATAACGTTAGGTGGATTTGAAGCAGAGGAGCTGAAAGGGAGAATTAAAATTTAGGCATCAAAGCTTTTTCACTGACAAAAAGAACAATTCTTTTCCCATAAAAAGCTATGGAACTTGGCAAATACTACTTTTTAACTTAGGGCCACCAGCTTACTGTTGGAAAGAGTACATCCATTGGGTTTTTCCTCCCTCAACCAACTTAAAGTGTCCATTTGGCTAAAGAAATTTCAATAGCAAACTGACCTCCATCAATTTAAATCACTAGAGATACACAATGTAAAGGTAGCACAATGAGACAGAGGAAAATCAGACTTAAAACAGTACCTTACACTCATACTAAGTGAGCCATACTTGTTTACACATTCTGTATTAAATCCTGGCTTTACTGAAATGAAAAGCCAGTTTTCTGTGATATCAACAGGATCAAAACTTACTCTTGATCAAACCTTTTTCTAGGGGAATCATTTTTTCACTGAGATGATGCAAGTGCAAAACTTTCTGAAGTAGATGAATATAGAGTTATATGCATATGTAACTGTTGTAGAGAAAAGTATGTGAATTTTGTTACTAAATATAGAAGTTGGGTGTTTTTCTGTCTGTAGCTTTGTTTCTCCAAGTACTTCAGTGGTTGGTCACATTGTTCTCTAGAGAAGGAAAGAATCCACAAAAATGTACCAGTTTACAAAGACCTCTGTTGCTTAGTATTCGAAATATTTCACCCTGTACATCACACAGAAGTGTCTTGTTGTTCTAAATCGTTCAAGTACTTCACACTTCATTTTATGTAGATTCTGGTAATGCCCTCCTGGAAGTACCATGTCTAGTGCAGCAATAAATACACAAGTGAGACTGATGTTCAGCGGGATGCTGGGAGTACAGTATCATTAAAGAAGCATGTTATGCTGAGTGCAATGTTCTTTCAGTAAGAGTTAATCTAATGATTAATATGTATTCCATATAGGAAGCTTGTTTGGAAAGTCAGAAAGTGAGGATACATTTGCCTTTCCCTTCCCCTCGGAATCAACTTCTCACGCCTTTGGAGATGGAAAAGATGACTTTAGTTTTCCATTTGCATTTGGACAAGATCAGAGATCATCACAGTCTCCTACTGTGAAAGGTTTTCATTCTTCCTTACAAAATACAAAGCCATTTACATTCTTCTGAATACCTTGGACTTGCTTTGAAATTCTTTTCCTACTTAGCCTTGACAAATGTTTTCAGTTTCTTAACTTAAAGTACAAACCATTTCATCTTCTTTCGTTTCAGGTAAGAATACCTTATTGCAATGCTGCAAGAGCACATGTGTGCTTTGAAATGCACCTTTTATTATTTATTTTCTAAATACACTGTTTTCATAAAATGTTACAATATACTCTCACTAAATTGACACAAAAGCAGTAGAAATATAATTTTACTGTAGTGTGTCGAGTTAATTAAATATCTGTGAGACCATCTAAACTTTTGGGTGAGTACTTTCAGCCTCTGATATAGACTCAATAACGTGTTAGTAGAATGACTGTTTATTACAGCAGTAAAAGCTGCATTTTGAGTTAAAGACAATGTTCTTAGATTAGCTGTTATACAAAGAATATTTATTAAATTTTTGAAATAAAGTTTTTGTTAATTTTATGTGACAACTTGTGGGTATTTCTTAATATATGAAGTGAAATAATGTTGAAATAATTTAAGTGAAATAATACTTAATGTTTTAACTCCTTTCTAACTTGAAACACTGAAAGCAAGTTCCTTCCTCTTTATCTAGTATCTTTCAAAAAAGGACGTACAGGCAGAGGTTTCCCACAGTCTAGGTCTGGTCAGCACAAGTGTATCCACCAGTTCTCCACAAATGGCTTTCCTTGTGGAGTGGCTGGCTGTGAAGACAGTACTGGGGTTACTCAGCAAGGAATGGTGACTGTTCTGAGCCACCACAGCATTGTGTCCTCTGATTTTCACATTTATAGTCTTTGAAGGAAATACCAGATTGCTTTTGAGTTATTTTTTTTCTGTTACATGTGGAACGTAGGTTACTAATTACTGAAACGCCTTTAAAAGGGAAACTGGTTTTCTCAGTGACTTACTGTGAGGTAAACAACCTACTGACAGCAGGTAAGCAAGATACTGAAATGGAAAAAAAGCACATACAGGAGAGACCACATCACTGAGCAGACTTCAGAGAAAACATTGCAGATGCACAGACTAGTCAGGAGTGCACATGGACTGAGTGGAACAAGTTGACAAAAAGCATCCTACCAGTATAGTCTGCCAAGAAAATGTCAACAAAGTCCAAAGGGAGTAGAGTTCCCTTCCCTCTGCTGACCTGCCATGACCAAAAGCTCGCTTACCTATGCCATTGTCCTAAATATCTTAGGACTATTTTTGTGCAGCCCAGCTTCTTCTTAAGTACTTGTGCCTAGAGATTGTAGAAGTTGGATGTTTTTACTGCAGAGGGATTTTGGAAGTTTTAGTGGAGTGCTGCTGAGATCAAGCTAATAAGTGAGACACATGGATTTGGTGGAATTTATGCTCCTCAAATGTGGTTTTCCACATTAAATCTATTTTAAACAGTTTTTTAAAACACCTATCTATGAAAAACGTAAGCTAGGGGTGAGTTTGAGAGCCTTTGGAGTAGTGTTTTAGAATATGCTACTGGCTGATATTTTGAGATCATTTAGAAAGCTGGCAAGTAGAGTTTTGTTTGCTCAGTTATTCCCTACCTGAAGCTTTCTTCTTTCTGAAGCTTTTCAGAAAGCCAGAAGCTTTCTGCCTTCTGACAAATTCTGTTATCCTTGTCTCTGACAGTACAGTCTGGTAGTCAAGGCTGCTAGCTGAAGTGGGACAGACCATAGTTCGAGGTCTTGCTGGATGTTTACTTACATAAATTGGATAGGCTGATTAATAACATAAAAGGGAAAGCTACTTCAGAAATGGCAGGCACTCAGTATTGGGGAGTTTCTTCTGAGACCTAAGAACATGAACTGCTTATGAACACAGACTGAGACTTTTCATTAGGATCTGACAAAGCCTGTCTAAACTGTCTCCGTTGTTGTTATGGCTGTGAAGCCAATAGCACTTGCTGGGATGAGCCTGTATCTCATCGACCAGTGTCAATTTCTTTTGTCCTTTACATACCCACCTGACTACATCCACCTCTGGTCGGGAAGTGTGGACAGAGACCTTGTAGCCCATGTAGCAGGGCCTGCTTGAGAGCACAGTGCTGTTTGCTCATTAGCACTTGTTAATTGCAGTTATTGCCTCCAGGGTGCAGATATAGTAAATGGACTGTGCGCTAGTTCCTCGTTCCTTGGTGCAGAGTCAGTAAGTTTAATTTGTATTCCTGTTGAAAGTGTGGAAGGGTAACCGAGCTGACTCTGGAATCCAGTAGATGAGGAACAGGTATTACACACATGACTACAACCCAAGCAGAGACCAGTAACCCCCAGCAGCAGGACAGCAATGTCAGATGGGAGCTGTAATCTCTTAAAAGCAGTGCAGCTGTCTGCAGAGTGGTAATATGGTTGGACTATGAACTTCAACTGCAAACCCTCCAATGTGGGGCTTGCCTTTTTCTGCTGTCCTTGTATTTCATCTAGTAAAATAAGAGTTTAGGCTCACAACTGAGCCCTAAGGTAATAACAACACGACCGCTTTCTTACATAAGCAGAGCAGGGATTTGACTTCGACTCTTATGTAAGTATCCTAACCAGGAGGCAAATGTTTATTTAGGGTCCTGATATCTTTACTGTTCCATTTAAGTTTTTAATAGAAAACAGCTTTTCAATAGAAACCTATTTAACTTGAAAAATCCCTTGTAAAAATTGCATACCACCCAGTGACCCACCACATCCATGCTGGTCATTAACTTTGTCACCAGAATGTTAGGAAATATAGCAATACTTGAATAAAACTTTTTATGTTGTTGACTATAATTTTTGAACAGTGAAGAATAAAATTTACACTCTTATCTGCTGGTACCAGAAGGAAGACATTGAACCCTCAATTTTCTTTCTCCCACAGAAATAATATCTATACGCAGACGGCATTTTTCTGATCAGAAATAACACAAAGAGCATTTCTCTCCATTTGCCTTACTGTGCAAAGTGGTCTTCCAGTAAAAAAAAAATAATTTATAAGGTGAGATAAAACTTTAACTGGAGCTGCATCTACTATTTTACTGTTAATTTTACTGATGCATAAATGTAAACCGAGCTTATAAACAATCCAGGATATCTGGCTAACAAATAAGCAGCAACTGGACAGGTTTGATGCCAAAAAATTAATCTACGAACTAGGAGGTAAAGACCAATGGAATAGCTTGCAGCAGTTGTGGGATATAGCATTTCTTTTAGTGTAATGATGCTTTCATGTACTACCTTTGATCGAAAGTTAGACGTTCATCAGACTTCTCAATCAAAAATCAGGCTTCTAGTTGAGAGCATTTTTTTAATTTTCTGTAACTTCAGTTTAAGTCTATGAATACGAAGCATATATGCACAGCATAATGTTCTTTAGGACAAATTCCATTGTGCCTTTATATATAATGCTTACGGTGATAAAACCGTAAAAGTTCCTTAATTTTATGTCAGAAAAACTGTTCAGTGTTCAAATATGATTGTGGCATGTGATAGTGTTAAAATAGGTTCTTTGCCATTTAAAATTTTCAATGACAGCATTGTGTGATTGAGGGGGGAAAAAAAAAGTACATAGCATCACTCTGTGCCCTCACCTCCTGTAACTGGTCACTTGTTCCATGTGTAATATAGCAAAAGAACCAGAATTCCAGGCTGGGAAAAGTGCAGTGATACAAGTAGTACAAAAATGAGTTACAGCCTGAAGTGTTGATTAAAGAACATTAACTAAGTAGTGGCCCTATTTCTAGCTACCTGTTAAGATTAATAGTAGGATGCAAAAATTATCACCTGGGTCTTTAAACATCAAACAATTCATTAAAATCCTGCTTTCAGTTGCAGCTATTTACAGTCCGAGTTGCAGTCTTTCCACACAATTCAAGGTAATTACTGCACTGAGTGTGGCTGCCTGACCACTTTGGGCCCTATACAGAGAAAAAAAAATTGTTCAATTTCTCATTTCAAGGCTATGAACATAATTAAAACTTATTGCTGGAAGTAAAGGGGTGCCAGTGCAGGCAAGTTGGTAAATGCAAACTTTGGGAGCAGGAGTAGAAGAATCATTGCGTCGTAAGAAAACAATCTTACACTATAGCATTAATACGCTTAAGAATTTCAAGGAAATAAGCTTTAAGTGCTACTTATTGTAACAGATTGGAATGTGTAGACTTACAGTATTAGATGGAAGTAATCTCCCCAGTGCAAGACTGATTGCATGGGTAGCAAGAGTTGGCTAATCCTTTTCAGCCAATGGCATAAAACAAGGATTAGTTTTTCATTTACTGCAACTGAGTGGGTCATTAGGATCCAAAGACACTAATGAGCCTGAACAGGCAATTGGATTCTCGTTTCAAAGTTATGGGCTAGTTTAAAAGGAGATGATTGTGTCTTTTAATGATTTAAAACATGATGTTTCAGTGACCTTTTTCCTGAATAAAAACGAGTGAAGGATATAACCATAGAACACAAACCTGGAATGTTGACTTCTTCTCTTGGAACTTGAGTTGTTGCCAGATCCATTGCCTTAGAGGCTGAATGGCTCATTTAGAAATATCACTGTTGCCTTGCTTTTATGTTCTGCTCTTGATGTCTCCAGAGTTGACACAAGTCACATGCAATCAAGTCTACAGTCCTGGTGGACAGGCACTGTCCTAATATTCTCTGACTCACACCCAGGTTGTTTGCAGCTCAGCAGTTCTGCTTCCAGACACATCACTTTGTGTTCTGATGCTAACATCTTGCTGAGAAATTGCCTCTTGGCACATTGTTTCTTGAATCCTGTACCTTGCTTGATTTGATGTGAAGATGATGCTCTTTTTAGCACTTGCATCATGTTACCTTTGGAAAGGTAAACTTTTCCCCCTCCTCATTATATCCTAGATGTTCATCTTTCCAATAATCATTTGAATTCAGCAATGGTAGGAAGCTTGTATTTGGATTAATTCAAATCAAAAGATGTTGCCAAAAGGGTATAAAAGAAAAGATGAAGGATGGACATTTCCATGTTAATAGAATGCTTAAACATACAAAAGGCAAATA